GCAAATACATACATTCATATATATATACATATAAAACATATGCAGTAGTGAGAATATAATGAAAAGAGGTAAAAATAAATAAAGATAATATAATAAGAAAATAATAAATAAGTGCATTACAATTGCCCTTCTTTTTCATAAGAGCTGCTTTTAGTGATTTGCATAAATTGCTTCACATCTTTTAGATAGTTTATATATATATTATTATCAATTTCTTAATGAAATAGAATTGATGAGTTCTTTGATTATTAGAGATTGTATGTAAAGAAGCAAAAATAATTTCTTTTTTTTTTTGAAACTTTCTCTTTTTTTTTTTGAAACTTTCTCTTTTTTTTTAACTTGATCATCATCAAAGTTTCTTGTCTTTCTACCGCGATTTTTTCATTTCTTAAAATTTTTTTTTTAAACTTCTTCATTGATTCTTCCTCCCCCTTCTCTTTTGTTGAAATGAGTTTTTTTAAATATTTTAATTTCAAGTAAGTTGTTCTCTGATTGATATTTATCACATATTATTGTTGATGTTCTTTGTTAGTGATGTTATTAATATAATTACATATGTCATTAACTTGTTTCTGAGCTTGTTTCTATATAGCGCCATTCACTATTTATTTGTTGTATTGCTTTAACTCTAATTATATAATGCACAACAGTTGAATTCTGTGTGAATGTTGTGCTCTCAAACTAAGAGATGTTGATTTGTAATGTGTATTGAAGTTCAATATTTGAAAATATTGTGAAATTTGTGACTTTACAGAAAAATTCTGCAATTCTGTGAGCAATCTTTATTAATTTCTAATTTTTTTTTCTCTTTCCTTTTTTGCAAATTTGTGTTTGAATAGATAAGTAATGTCATTAACAATGTTGATATATTGATAATGATGTTAAATGTGTGATACACCTCTTCTGAAATGTATTATGCACAGATGTGTGTTTATTTTTGCAGAAGTGATGATCAGAGAGAATATGATCAGTTATAAAAGTTATCTTCATTATTTAATAAAACAATTAAATGCATTTTGTCTGATAATATTGTTTGTTCAGAGTAAAGCAAAGGTATTATTATTATTATTATTCTTCCGTTATACTCGTATGCAAGCAGTGCTTATGACGAGTCCTTATGTAATGTTAAATACAAGCAAGAGTTGGTTATACAGGAGGAATGCTTAGTGTTGAATGATGTCAAAAATATAACAGAAACATAGAAAAATTAATGAAAGACAGAATTTGATACTCATGATACAGATTTCCAGCCCAGAAACAATAAGCTAAATCAGGTAGTAGGTCCGCCCAAAGGTACCTACTTGGCAAGTTCACATCTCTTTATTTTAAAAGCTGAGAAGTTGGCTCCCCTTATGTTTGAAAACTCGATGTTGGGCGGAATTTCATAGTATATCCTAATATCTATTTACGCGGATCCTTAATTAGGGTTTATATATTACACTAATACCAATGAATACTCAAAAATACACTGATTATTCAATGAGATCTCGTATAATATACACTAATGAAACCACGCTAATTTTGCACAAACCTACGGACGAGGGGATAAAGGGTACGAATCACCCAATCCAATCCCCCCAATATAGCACCCCCTAACAGAGTTTGATATCACGTGGTTGTAACCATGTGACCACAACGAACCTTCCAAGGTTACAACCAACCTTCTATTTTCATGGAATACGTCATTCTGGTACCGTTATGTGACGGAAACGCTTGTTTAAAATCATTATACGCTTCAAACCATTGTGTCTTGTCCTCCGATACCCCCACACCCAAACCGTTTCACCAGAAGAGATATTGTTTAGAGGGCGATAGAGGCCATCCCACGAGGGTTGGAGATGTTATACCCCCCCTGCTGGTCCGCAACAGCAGTGTTCATTTCCTCTTCATCATCAGAGCGCATTGGACACATAATTTCCGGTTAATCGTGTTTTCCGCTAGAAATGGAAGAGCAGAATCTGAATCAAGGGGCGGCGACTCCTGGAAGCCATGAAACCTCATATATCCCTACTCAACCATATTGCTCTGGCCTCGAGACTGTCTGGACGGGAATCTCGAACTCATTGGATTACAACCTGCTTCGAAACTTCGAGGCACCAACATCTCACGATTTCCCCAGCGGCTACTTAGCCTGTGATGAATTCTTTAAATCACTCGGGCAAGAAAGCTTCCGTTCCGCTTTCAGGCTGATGGAATGGCAGTATGATCAACGCAGAGAGGCCCAAATGATTCTCCCATTCCTTTACATTGGACCGACATCTTCAGCACGAGACCTTGATTTTGTGAAACGAGAAGGAATAACGTATCTTCTAGGAATTAGAGGCCCACTCCCTTACCACGCTCGCATCGTCGATGCAGATAAATGTGCTGCCATGCATGGCATTGAATCTGGCAATGTCATCGTCGTGGATGACCAAGATCTTATTAAATCCCTGCCTGATATCATTCGAGGAATCAACGAACATATATGCTGCTGTCCAGCTCACCACACAGGTGCAACCACCGCTTCTGGGAATGATATCAGAAGCAAACCATGGAAAAAAGTCTTGATTTTCTGCGAGACGGGGAACGAGCGTTCAGCAGCTGTCGCTATCGCCTATTTGATGGCAATCCTCAATTACGATGTTCAAACTGCCTTCATCAATGTCCAGGGTCGAAGACTCTGCTGCAATCTCCCCAGAATCTTTGAAACGCGTGCTTCAAACGTTTGGGATCCATCCTCGCCGCGAGGAGAGACGTCATGAAAGCACAGGATGCGATCAACGGTTCCAATGGAAGGACAACCAACATCGTGGGATTTCCCAGCCCAAAAAAAAGACCGATTGATGCCACACGAGAGTTAGAGGAAAGTGTTTGTAATTTTCCGGATGTTGAATTGCAGGCCTCCTTAGATGACGAGCGCTTCGCGTCCAGAAGTACTCAGCCTCCTTTTAGCGATGCAGATAGCGGATAATTCCAACCCTTGATATGTGCACATTGCGAGCGAGCGAATACACGCACAGCAACCTGCTAGGAATCATTGCTGTAGTAGACGGGTGTAACCGACCGCGATTGAAAACATATCACACAGGAAATTTTCCTTCCATCCGCCCTTTTCTTTATCTGCTTCCATGGAGCACAAAACACGGGTTTATATGTAGAGCATATGACGTTTGCTTGGGACTCTCTCTCGCTCTTGATTTTTGTTGTATACTACGAAATCGTATTTCGCTTTTCCTTTTGCTAAACGTGATAAGCGTCAAGCGTTTGGCTGCGTTCGGCTTTTGTCACTGCTTCGCTTCTTTCCGCTCGTATTCCTTCTTTGTATTAATTTTAATTGATACCCTTTGTCAAGAGGGAGAATTCCCACTTGTCGTTGACAATATTGTTCTAAACCCCCCACCCCCCATACATAAAAATTCAAAAGGAAACCCTTTTAGAAAGCATTTTCAATAAAATATTTCAACTTTTCAAGCATCCCGACAGGGAAATGTCTTGTTAATCTTCTCTTCTCTTTATTTCCATTCCTCTTTTTGAGTTCTCAGGAGAATTCACTCCACTTGTTTGCAATGACTATCATGTGTTATTATTTTCCTCTCTCCTGGAGCAGAGAACAACCCAGATGTCTTCTTGCAAGTCGCAATGCCTAATTCAAGATATTCACCCAGGAGGTCCACATCAGTGATATCCGAATGATCCCTCTCACTCCACCCACAACTTCAACTTCAGGACAGCAAACCCTCCGGTCTTTGAATAACTCGGAGCATCGTCTCTTTCTTGCAGCTTTTCAACCCTCATCTCATGGAATTCTCTTTCACGGGCTTTAGGTAGTCCTTTTGATTTTCTCGAACGACCCTTTGGTCAAACTCACCAACTCAACTTATACCCCCCCAACCCTCCCCCTTAACCCTCCCCCTTTATACCCACCGCGCCCTTCAACCCAGCAACGAATAACACAACACAACAGCATTCCACCACCCCTTTAACAAGGAATAAAAAATAAATAAAGGAAGAACACACCTTTGTCTAGCACAATCTCCGCCTCACACATCCGTCGACAACTTATTCGGTTAATTCCAGCAAGGTAGGACCGCACCTTATCCCACAATAATGAATCTCAGGGGCAGAGATACTCTAAAACCGCCAAAACGATATGATGAAGAGAATTTTACAAAACCCGCTCCGCCACCCCCAGCACGGAACGAATCTCGTAGTTATAAACCGGATGTTGGGCGCCCCGTGTTCCCACCACCTTTCGTTGACTTCAACCCTAATCTACCTCCTGCAGCATTCCCCACTATTGATACCCAACAGCCACCAAAATATCCCGCACAGGAAGCTCCACAGAGTTCCAGGGACAGGATAGGGTCTATGCAGGAGCGCTCTGGTGCGAATTCTTTCGATCATGAAAATATCACTGACTGTCAATATAACGCCAGTCGTGAGCGGGGAATGGCAGGGAAAGGAGAGGTATCCATGCTCGATGTTGGCGATGACTTTAGTAGCAGTGCCCCTGGAAAATTAAATCTTCAAGTTAGTTGCGACTGTGTGAATTACCCGAATGAGCTTGAGAATAGCGAACATGGAACAAGGAGCAGTATGAATCTGAGCGATGATGAGAATGATGTCGGAATCGGTGCTTATGAAGCGGCTGGGATATCAGCTGTGAGATACCATCTCTTCACCCTCTCCCGAAGGAAGATATTTTTCAAGATGTATAATCCCTCGCTAATGCCTTTCGTTATTATCAATAGGCTGCCCTCCAGGAGATAAAATGGAGCGATATATCCCCAATCCTTCAAACAGAAATCTTCGAGAATCTCCGTTCCGTCTGCGATTACCGCCAGGCAGTCGAGGCGCTGAGACTTAGCCCTTCAGAGCAAATCAAGATGATCGAACATTCTTCTGCGCGCAAGGAACAGGTTCAGCGCGAGAACGCGAAGTTAAACGAGATGAGAACGAAACAACTCCGGGCGTTGCTACGAATGGACAATAGTTATCTGAGAACCCAAAAGGTACCAGATCAGCTAGTATTTAAAAACATTTCAAAAAAATTCCTTGATACGACCGCACATTCTGGCCCGGATTACTCCATGAGTCAAGCTAGCGATATCCTGATCGCACGCAAATATCTGAGAAGCCTTGGTTTGGACCCTATGTTTGCTGGTGAATGGAGTAACAATCTTGTGGCGATCACCACTACTGGTATGACAGGAGCTGACGAGGGGTTTGAATGGTCAGGGGAATTTCCGGTGGCTGAGGAAGCCAATATCTCTGAACATGGCGATACAGAGTGTGAAAGTAATCCTGATTCAGAAACAGCCACTGGCGCCAGTTCGCATTCCGATTGTTCCCCGCATCCGAAACGACTACGGACTCTGGATCATAGTCTGAATGCTGCCCAGCATCTACTTTACCATCGTCGGGAATCATCTCTTCCTCGAGCCGGTACGGTGCGATCCCTTCCCTTTCGAACTCTCAGTGCCAAAGCCGAATCTTGTCAATGGCGACAGCCATCTAGGCCATTCCAAAACACCTTTCCTCAGTCATCACCACTGCGCCGTGAGTCGGTAGTTCGACTCAAAGTTGGGTCGCAAGGCGCTGCTCGAATACAGCAAGATATCTTTGGAACATCAGGAGATATTATGCGACGGTATTCACAACCACAAATGAACATTCCCAACGATAATACAAGTGTAGCAAATATGTTGCCCCAATTATGGCCACGGCATGCAATATCGGGTAAGAGGGGAGGCTGCAAAACAATAAAGCGATCATTAGGGGGCACATGGATCTATAGCCAAAGTAGGGAAGATACGGAGGCTGCTTCTCGAGCTTCGCGGATGTACAGGGATGGGCTTGCAGCAGCCAGAGTTGAAGCTAAGGATGCGCTCCGGGAAGATTCAGCATGGCATCAATCAAGCTCAGTCTCTCCATCCACGAATTTAACACCTCCCAACCTGGGTAATCCATGCCAGTTTGAGAAACCGAGGATGGAACCACTAGCTAGATGGAGAAGTAGCCCGGGCCATAGTGGAAATCCAAGAATGATTCCCAATCCGGGGTCAAATTTCGTCCCGCACTATATGTCGCTCAGCCACCACACCCTGTCGGAGGGATATGCACCGCAATATTCACCAATAACGCCACCTTCGTTCCCAGCTCGATGCGAGCAAGAAGAAAACAAAACACTTGCGAGGGAACTAGAAGGATATGCCAGAGAACCCAATAACAACCGGGGTGGACCGCCTCTCTTAACTACGACTAGTAACCCAACGCCAATTAATGCTCATATGCCGGGGGTTGCAACAACTACGTTTTGCTCTCAGGGCACCAATGCAGAGGGAACATGCGCCAAAGAGGTCTCTCTACAGGCAGCACAAAGCTTAGTATCACCTGTTCCAGAACTAGATATGACGGAGGTAAAGGGCGAAAGTACAGTTACAGTTAGTAGGAAGGATAAACACAGCCCATCGCCAACCGAAACAGCTACTACTCCTGTGCTCCTAAAGGTGGACACCGTGCTCTCCTGCCCCAGCAAAAACCTTCCAGATCTACCAAGCGCGGGTCTTTCAGGCACAATAAGCTTAGGGATGATGGAAGGATCCCGGAAAAAGAGAAATAGAAGGTATGGTCATGGGTGGACGAAGAAAAAGAAGTGTCCAGGCAAAACGGTTCAATTACCGACATGCGTTGAAACGACAGCAGAAGAGTGCACAAAGAAAACTATGAAGAGCAATACCCTTGGGGTGGACTCAGCTAATACTAGAAGAAGAAGTGAAAGAATCAATAAGCGGGAAGCATGAATTGGATACCGGGAGTTTTTGTCAGATGCATGATGGCTGGGGACAGATTGGAAAGTCTAGAATAACCTTGAATTCCATTCTTGGCGCAAGATACCTGCACTCTGCTTGGGTGGATTTCTGGATCTATTTATCTGCTTGTTTACTATCCTCTCCTCTCCTCTCCTCTCCTTTGTTTTTTGTTTTTTTTTTTTTTTTTTTTTTTTTTTAATTATTTCTCACTCGTTTAGTGGTTTTTGTTTTTTTAATTTTCTTGCCTTTCATTTCCCTTTTCTTTTTCTTTGCTGTATGTAATATTTGAGGGATACAGTCCATTTGAAAACAGTCAGTGTCATCAGCTGTTGGGTCAGATAAAGGAGTCGTTCTCTTAAAGAAAGAAAAAAATGAGAAAAGATAATAATAAACGAATGAATCAGACCCTGATATGTCACTGCAGGAACATATGTGAGTGGATTCCGAACAATTTCCTACAAAAATTTTGCTTCGCCTCGGCTCCTGCTTGCTAGCTATTTCCCATCAACAGGAGATACTCGATAACATAGCCTGTATTGCCTTCATACTTCAGCTCAGGGTAAGGGAAGCGTGTCCAGGAGTTAGATCCTCAACACCCATAAAAGGTCAAGCTACATGCTGGCCCGTGGTACATAATAGTATGATTTTGTAGCTGCACTCGCAGCATCATGGTGATCTGGGAGACGAACATCTTTTTCCCCTCTCATGCGAGTAAGGAGGACACAACACCACTGACGGCGGCGCTACACCGTTCGGGTCACAACATCACATAAAGTGGATGAATCCGGAAGCGCGCAAACTGCGGTTGTATACGGCATGGCTTGATTAAGTGGTGTTGGACAACCTGTGCAGCTGGACAGAGCAAAAAACCCAGCACAGAATCAAATACTATATACAGGCGTGGTGGCCCGGCCTGGTGTCCTTCTGGGAGTTCAACAGCTTGAATGTAAGTTAGGACAGCTTTCTCGCTGACGTAATGCGCGACTATTTCGCGCCTCTGACCCAACCACGCGTAAAGTGACGGACGACAGCAGCCGAGACGGAACTGACAGGCAAGCAAAAGAAGCACGCCTTGCTCAATTCCAGCTTGCACGCTGGCAGAAGCAGGTTGTTTTGCTGTTCGGTAACGAGGTTTCCTTGATGCACGGTGAGTTTTCCTTTCCCCCTCGCTCGGTCTCCCCTACTATCAATGGCAGTCATAAATGGCAGTGTGCTTCGAAACATAAGACCTAATATATACTATTAGAGCAGGAATTCTGAATAAGGATTTAACGTAATTGCTACACGAAAGTTATTCATTCTGACCGTTGACGCTCTTAAAGAAACTCGCCAGTGGGACCCTTCTAAATACTTTCGACCACACCATCACTTCTACGGCAGATTGCCTACGAATTGGCTATACGTCGCCAATGTCTAGCAGTTCGGCTAATTCACCAGGAAACTTCCTTGGAGCATCCACACCTCAATCATCTCCTCCCATCGTTGACTCACCGGGCAAAGGAGATATGGATATGTCCAAGGTGGAAGTAGATTCCGCTCAAGAACATGAAGAGCAGAACGAAAATATGGAGGAAGCTGACGAGGAGGGCATGGATATCAAGGCTAAAGCTTTGACCAAGCTGCTCAAGACAAGCTCTGTAAGTTCCTTTTCGTTTTTGCTTGCTTGCCGCCATCTGCTATTTAGCGGTCACCTTAAAGCCACTGGCTGCTAATCAAATGAAAAGGTATTCGTGGCGATTATGGCAGATAAAATGAAAGACCAGCAAAGAAAACAGAAAGAAGAAGCCAAACGGAAACTCGCAAAACAAGCGGCGGTGACAATGAAGAACATATCCCCTATCACAACCACTGAGAAGAGAGCCACCCGAGGAAGCGGCAAGCCATCCCAGGCAGAACAAACACCTGCCAGCGATTTTAAAAGTCGTAGCTCAGAAAAGGTGGCAAAGGAAACAAAGCTGCCGACTAGAGGTCGTCCTCCAAAAAGTACCGCCGGAAATACCATCTCGAAATACTTTAAGAAAGCCGATATACAGATCTCAAAGGATAACCCTACAGTCCAAGAGGCATTGGAAGAAGCCGCAGAGGAATATGAGGCGAAGCCTACTGCAATAGGCGAGCAGGATCTAGTAGCTACCCAGCAGCCAGCACTAGTAACCGGTGGCCAAATGAGGGAATACCAGCTAGAGGGTCTGGAGTGGCTAAAATCCCTATGGATGAATGGCCTTTGTGGTATCCTTGCTGATGAAATGGGTCTGGGAAAAACAATCCAGGCTATATCTTTAATAGCATTTTTTAAAGAGCACAATGTTTCTGGTCCATTCTTGATCTCTGCTCCGCTTAGTACAGTTAGCAATTGGGTCGCCGAGTTTGCGCGCTGGACACCTGGTATTGAGACAGTGCTTTATCACGGTAGTAAAGAAGAACGTGCCGAGATTCGAGATCAGCGGATGAAACTACAGGACCAGAAAAAGCAGGATTTCCCCGTTGTGTGCACATCCTATGAGATTTGCATGAACGACCGGAAGTTTTTGGCGAAATATCAGTGGAAATATATCATCGTGGTGAGCTCATGTCAATCACATGCCATATCAGATGTCTTTTTTAACGGATTTTAATTTTTTTTTTTCTCTTTTTACACAGGATGAGGGACATCGGCTGAAGAACCTGAATTGTCGATTGATCAAAGAACTCCTCACCTATAATTCTGCGAACCGTCTCCTCATCACTGGAACACCTCTGCAAAATAATATCGCTGAATTATGGTCTCTGCTTCATTTCCTCCTTCCCGAAGTCTTCAATGACCTAGGTAGTTTTGAGAGCTGGTTCGACTTCTCTTCCGTCCTGGATAACAGAGGCCAAAAAGCGGTTGTGGAGCGGCGTAAACGCAACCTTGTGTCTACCATGCATGCGATATTAAAACCATTCTTACTCAGACGAGTGAAGACGGACGTTGAAGCATCTCTACCTAAAAAAAGGGAATACATACTATACGCACCGCTAACGCCTGAGCAGAAAGATCTATATCTTGAAATTATGAACGGCTCTAGTAGGGCATATCTGGAAGAAAAAGCAGCTGAGAGGATCAATGCCAGAAATGGCACTCCAAAGACGTCAAGATCCGAGAGCCTGAAACGTAGACCCTCCAACAGTGGATCCTCGACCCCAAATAAGAGCTTGAAATCCAGCCGTGAATCTACACCGGGAAGCACTTTAGGCTCTGCAAGGCGGAGAAAGGGTCGTCTAAGCTATAAGGAAGCCAGCGATCGAGAGTTTAACGCTAGGTTGCGGCGACTAGAACAGGGGATTGAATCTGAACCAGAAGAATCAGAGCAGAGTGAAAGCGAATTGGAGAGGATTGAAAAGGCCAAAACGGCTCAACTTGCCAGTAAGCATAACCTTTCAACCCTGCGAATTTATTACCAGACGTGGTTTTATCCCTTTTCTAAATTTCCGTCCTTTAATATCTACAGAAAGGGAAATTGCTTCTAAAAAGCTCCAAAACCCCGTGATGCAGCCAGATTAGCCTGCAACTCACCACACAACTTCTACTGGCCCTGGGGTGACGACCCATCCCACATCGACGACACCCTCATTACCTCGTCGGGGAAAATGCTCCTCCTCGACCGGCTCATTCCCTGCCTAATGTCCAAGGGCCACAAAATCCTCATATTCTCCCAATTCAAAACCCAACTCGATTTGCTGCAGGACTACGCGACCTCCCTTCGCGGGTGGAACTGCTGTCGCATCGATGGCGCTGTCAGCCAAGTTGACCGCCAGGCACAAATCCAAGCCTTCAACACGGACCCGGACTACAGAATTTTCTTTCTAAGCACTCGCGCCGGTGGCCAAGGCATCAACTTGACAGCAGCGGACACGGTTATCCTTTTCGACTCTGACTGGAACCCGCAACAGGACCTGCAAGCGCAGGATCGCGCGCACCGCATCGGCCAGACTAAGCCGGTTATTGTCTATCGACTTGCGACGAGGGGTACCGTTGAGCAGACGCTACTCGAAAAGGCAGATTCAAAACGTAGGCTGGAAAAATTGGTCATTCAAAAGGGGAAGTTCAAAAGTTTGCTGGAACCTGGGTCTGCTGCCGCTTCTTCTGAGGCGGAAGAGTTGCGGAAGATCCTTGGAGATGCTGGGTTTGAGGTTTTAGATCTTGGTGGTGGTGAAAGGGCGACGCCGGAATCTCTCCTGTCGCAACGCGACCTGGATATATTGACTGATCGTAGTGATGAGGCATATGAGAGGGCTGAGAGGGGCCTGGATAAGGGGGGTAATAGCTTCTTTGCTGTGGAACCCAAGAAAGAGGCGGAGGGCATGATGGCTGAGATTACCAGTAGATAATTAGATTGGTTAGAAGAGGATCGAGTTTCTCGACTTGGTATCATTTTTTAGTTTTTGTATTTAGAATTGGGTGCTCTGCCTTTGCTCTTTGTAAGAGCGGGTGTTTCTAGGGGGTACGGTGGTCACTTACAGCCTCTGGCAACGCATTTTCATCTATGTCAGTGAAGTTCCCGAAGTCCTCAGGGTTTTTTTTGACCAATTTCATCGAGATAGTTAGTTTCATGTCATTACACATCTTGAGCTCAGCGGCAATGTAAATAAGAAATAGGGGAGGAGCAATGATTAAATCAAAGGTAGACCCAAAAATATACAAATTGGATATTCTCCAACCGTTCCAATTCCGTTTCGGCTGCGCAAAAAAATGTCAAAAAGAGCTCATAAATGTTATCGACGCTTAAACGGTGGAAGAAATGAAGACATGGAATAATATGTACTAGTTACAGGTAGGAAGAGGAGGGGAGGCCCCCGACTTGACAATCGGAAAAGCTCAAAGAGGAATTTCTTCACCTCTACCTCTCCCTCAATGCCGCACCATACCACGTCACCGACTCCGTTTCTCCTCCCGAATCTGATCCTTTAACTCAGTCAATGTCTCATTCCTCTTCGCCAAATGTGCCCTCAAGCCTTCCACCTGGTCGCCAACCGTCTTAACATCCTCCCTCAACCTCTCCAGGCTCTCCCCTTCTTTGACCTTACCTGTCCCCTCTCTAAGCTCTCGCAACTCCCTTTCTTTATATTCCAGCAACTGCAACGCCTCCTTCTTGATGAGTGTCCAATTGGGCCCACCATTGACAGAGCCACCTCCACCTTTCCTCGACTCCATCGCGCCGTCAGCAGCCTCCAGCTTCTTTTCCAACTCCGCTAGCTCCCGCCGTAGCCGTACTTTCTCCCACTCCTGATCCTGTATGGTGTTGCTGAAATCCGTTCCCTGCGGGCGGTATGTAGTTCGTCCGCCAACGCCTAACCGACTGAGATAAGCGTCACCAAATTTAGCTTTACGGCCTGTGCTGGTATCCACATCTGTGTCAGCACCCCACCGCTGAGCCGGGCGGACGTTGTCGAGTTGGTAGTCGATTTTGTTGGATTCGAAAGAAGCGCGAAGCGAAGCGGGCACGGTACGCGGGATACGGTAGCCCTCATGTCTGTTGTTCAGGATGTGGAGGAAGGCGAGGGTGGCATCTTTGGAGATCGTGGAGGAGGCAGAGGGGTTGACGAGGTTCCAGGCGGAGCGGATGTCGGTGTCGGGTACGGCAAGGGAGTCGTACAGGGGTTGGAGGGAGTCGACTGGAGTTGGAAGGAGGGCATCGAATGTCAGCGGCTGTATTAGAAGGATATGGCGAGGATTCATAAGTGATACCCACATGTTATCTCCCCGCGATGGTTCCTGTTCGCGGAATATATCTCCTCATATTTGGATTTGTCTCCTGGGCTCATGTACCAGTCAAACCCATCCTTGAGGCCGGGGGTATCGTCTTCCTCCTCCACCCGTTCGAATTGTGGTTGCCTTCCCGTGAGGGCACGCGAAGCTTGGACAAGATGCGCCTTCGACTCTGGAATCAACCAATCTGGTAATGAATGTGGCACATCGGCGTATTCCTAGGAACATCAAAGAAGAGGAAGAAGAAGGAAGAATTCCAAGTTAGCCAGAACCACGCACGTATATCCATATTCTGACCGATGTGCATACACTCTACGCATGCCCGCATCGTATAATGTGCCCTTGGCCTCGTATAATATTCAAGAAGAATACATACCCCATTCACAAGATCAAAAATAAGCCTCATAGCCACGCAAAACTCTTCAAAATCCAACTCGCCATCTCCGTCAACATCTGCTAAATCCCACACCTTTTCCAGTTGGTCGTCTCGTAATCGGCTGTTCCTTAGGACTGTCGCGGCCTGCGCGTTGTTCAGGTGTGGTTGGCCATTGGAGAGCGAAGAGAAGATCTCCCAGTATCTCTCGACTTCCCATTGTTCTATTTTCTTCTCGGACATGCTGCAGACGACGAGAGTGGCATTAGCAAGCGTTAAATAAATGGTACTTGGAATTGGAGGTAGGTTGGTCAGCTTTACGGTCTGGTAATACTGACGTTTGGCAGTGGTTATCGGAGAAAATAATTCCCCGTAGATCCCCAAGGACAAATGCTGGATACCAGATCAGGGGTTTGATTGCGCATATCTAAACCAATTTCAGGTATCTGTCAATTTTTATTTCCGCATATTTAAATCGAAATGGTCCTGTATAGATATATCTAAATTACGTGGAAGGATGATAGATATCACGACACAAAGGCTGAAAGCTTGTAGGAAAAAAATATAGAGTAGAGATAGTGATGTTACATAATGTTAGACCATAATCAATACACGCTCCATATGAGTGCGGCAAAATCAAGAATTCCCTCCCGTAGACACCTGTGTACAACTTCTGGACAACTGCAAACCCCCGGGACAGAGAGATAGCACAAAGTGATTCGCACAGCCACCACCCACTTAAAAATAGACAAACAAATATTCCTATGCAAGCTATGAACCCCCTTCAAATCCATGAAACCCAATTCATAGTTCATTCTCTAATTTATGATGGAGAAGCGAATTGATGGACGTCGAAAACGGCTGTACAAACACTGCAGTTCTTATGGTGTGTAAGCATGGTCGTGGGTTTTCAAAATGAGCTCCGCCTAAGAAATGATTCTGCATGCGATTTCAGTTGGTAATGAGTAATCTGACAAGCTGACTTGCACAATTTCGGTATAGTCGGGTTGAATAACCGGCTCCCGGAGTTCCAATTGAATCAGGACGTTTTCTTTTCCTGATGAAGATGTTTTACTTGCCTCACTGCTCGCTCTATCTCAGCGGCGAGTTCATGAGGTCCCAATATTTGAGCCATTTGTCTGCCGTCGGATGCTTCTAACAGGATCACTTCGTTTGGGCAGTTGGTCTTGGAATTTGCTTCAGGAGGAACGGAGTTGTTGATCATCAGGCGATGGGCATAAAATTTCTCCAAGGCGGGAAGAGACCTCGGTGTAACGAGGTTGTTGTCAAGTAGAAAGCAAAGATGTTTTGAGCCGCTCAATGCTGGGTTTTTTGTGGTTAGTTTGCACAGGTTTTACTCAAGGGATATTTTGGGGGAAACCCACCCCTCCAATGCGACCATCCACGGTATACGAAGTAGAAAAAAGGAATATTAGGGACGCTGGAACATGCGAGCGAAAAAAAAGAAAAATTTTGTAAGTCAGCGGGAGTATTGTGCAGCAATGCACAAGAGACTAGCAAAATCCCAGGTGAAGTTCTCACAGAGGTATGAGTGCAACAGGCAGCATCAATGGCGCAATGAATATGCTCCACCACATTCGTCTCCGGTGTAAACGTTGTCTCGCGGTAGCCAAGTCTCTCAGCAAGTCCAGGACCTTGCTCTCCTGGATGATGCCCTTAGGGTAAACGAGCGAGACCTGGGTATGGGTCTGCAACTCCTCAGTTTGCCTCCTCGTGCTCAATGGAGGCACGCTCTTCAGGCCCCATTCTTCGTATGGTATGCGCTGCAACACCCGGTTTCCATAGGCCACCAACCTCTTTTTCCAGGCCTGCTCCGCCTGCTCCCACTTCGCCCAGGTAGTTGATGCTTTCTGAGTAATACGGTCAAGACGGCTCAGCTCTTTCGCAGACCGTGTGTCGATTCTTTTGCAATAAAGGAGAGATCGCCCCGTAGAGATGGGGAGGAGGTACAGCCGCATCGCAAAGATGCGGAGGTGCTATGGGTTGACTTCCGGGGGTGAGATGCGATGAGAGAAGATGCACGAGGCTAGTTTGACTCTGCGCGGCTGCAGGTCGCCTTTTGATGTATTGTCTAACAGCCTAGAGCGGAAATTTTTTGTTGGGTCGGAGCTGGAGCTGTGATGTAATTTCTGTTGTTTGGGGCGCAGTCCAGAGGTCATCTCACGTCCAGTATTATAGGAATTAATTTTGTTTTCAACTCAGCTTCAAATAAAAATATGATCAGGTGCTGATCTGCTCCCAACATCATCACTCAATCCATCATCTTCATCTCCACTGCTCGTCGCTCGTTTCCATAATTTGCCATATTTCTTAACTTTTATTCCTGCTTTCCCTGTTAATTACCACTCACGTACCTCTCCAGGGGATTGTACCTCCGCTCTCATTGCGGCCAAAATCATGGGAGGAAGCAATCGGCACCCCAATTGATTGTCAACTGCCAGCAACCACAGCCACGCCCTGGACGCAGAAGCTCTATCTCCGGGCAATGGCAATATATGGAGATTGCCTTTTACACCCCCAGCCTCCGGAAACTCAGAGTGGAGGATCGGCCAGCAGGAAGTCGGAGTTGTCGCTGGTAGACCCTCCCCTTATGAGGCAGAAATCGGGCACGTCAGTTGCGCGATCGAGCGTAAACGGGGATGTGGGCCACTCAGGACTTCAATTTTCGCACGACCGGAGTTCCCTTCGGTCGAAGAGTAGAGCTCAATCAGTGGGGGTGAGCATCGGGACTCAATCTAATAACGTTTTCCGTGCTGCGAGGACAATACCAGGTATAAGCTCTGTCCTACCCAAGTACTTCCCTGCCCCTTGAGCCCGCAAACCTACTGACATCAATAATCCTCTAAATAGCATGGGTGCGAATTCCGAATGAAACCACTGGCCTACCGGCCCATTCCCATTTGGCTTCCCCAGAACTTGCAGGTGTCCGAATCGCCCAACACCACTACGTTCCTCGCGGAAAACAGCAAACTTCATATACGAACTCTGGCTACACCAGCAAAGGCCCACGGGAATCAAGATGGAAAACATTTGCGAAAGCTAATGCATACCCGCGGCCGTCTACAGATATGGAGGAGAAACTTGTTGATCACGACTGGCTAGACGAAAACATTGGAGATTATTCGGGCCCCTGGCTGGGCCATAGTACCAATGTAAAAGACCTAGAAAGTGGTCAGCAGGATTCCAAACAGCGGAAGGTAAAGCGGTTGAGTAAGGTCCAGTCGAAGATCCTCCGAAGTCCCATTGTTCCTCTTTTAATCCGCCTTACTGTTTTTATCTTTTCGGTCGTCGCCCTAGCTCTAGGTGGTTCAATCCATTCCTATGCCACAAAATATGGTCACTCGCAAGGCCCCTCTCCAGATTTGGCGATTATAGTAGATTCTATAGCTCTTGTCTATCTAGTATATATTACTTATGACGAATACACTGGAAAACCTTTAGGGCTCCGGCCTGCCAAGGCTAAGCTGCGGCTTATATTCCTGGACCTGATCTTCATCGTCTTTGCGTCGGCCAATCTCAGTCTGGCGTTTGAAAGTTTGTCAGATATCCAGAGCTCTTGTGGATCCGGGGAGATTGACGGAAAATTTGACCCAACAAACTCAAGTATCTGCAATCTGCAGAAGGCGTTGGCTGCCGTATTGCTGATTGTACTGGTAGCATGGCTTACGACCTTCGCCATTAGTGTTCTAAGGTTTGTGCACCTTCCACATTTACACCCGCCCTTGTGTATACCCCGTCAGCGAAAGCATGTTAACAGATATCCTCAGGGTTGTGGAGCGAGTAACGGGCAAGTAAACCTGTTCTGTTTCGAAAACATTTTTCTTTTCCTGACCATCATTTGCTATTTTATTGTTATCACTACTATCATTGTCTTCATAATTTAGTGAGCCTGCATATTTTCATTTCATTTCCCCATTGCAGGATTTTAAATGCATATTCTCATGCCAACTTTATATCCGTTGCATCCTCACCCGTTCGTTTTCGGATTTTATTCCTTTTTGATTTCATTCAAATCCATTTATTATCTTCTACGAATTTCCGTTAGGTTCATGTTTTCACCCTATCACATTTTCCTTTTTGCGCAAAAAATGATAAGGGCTTAGATGCAACAGCAAACTTTAATTTCTTTGATTCCCCGAATGTATTTACTTTTGTGTATATTTTCCAGCCATGGATTTCATTGTTTTTGTCCCTCACTGCTCATAACCCAAGGTTGATATACATCGAATAAGTTTCTTAAGTTACACCACCTACCAAAAAAGAAAGTGAAAATGTGAGATGAAGGAAAAGACGGACTTCCCCTACGGCGACATCTACACACAAAAAGCCCGTGAAATTGTCTCACACTTCAAGAACCAGCCAACAATCCCCATAAGCAGGTCCTTCTCAAACCAATCCGCTTCCTCAATCTCTGCCGAGTTATCTTATTCCTCTTCATCTCCATAGCACATATTCCACAGTTTCCCCATTGGATATGCACCAACCATCTTAACCCCAACCTCATTATAGTGCAGCAGTCTATGGGCCACCCTAGCAGGGACAACCAGGAAATCCCTGCTTGAAACTACAGCGTCAAAGCGCTCTGGGCTATCTCCATGTCCGAATCATAGGTTAGGATTGCTTTGCCAGAGATGACGATTAGGACCGCGTGCGTGGTGGAGTGAAACTGACGGTGAGGGTACATGGATGGGGCAGGTCCATTGGGGCTCAGCGACGCAGGTTTCTGTCAGGTGTTGGCTGATTTCAGAGGCTGTGGTGGAGGAGTGGAAGCCGCTGCGGTAGATGAGAAAGGGTGTATGGTGAATGGAGGCGTTTAAGGTGTGGTACCAGGGAGGGATTTGATGGCGGCCCACCCGTAAGGAGTGGAGAGCTTTCAAAGTGGCTGCCATGTCCATCTATGGCTGTGAGTGTCGGATAGGTTAGCTAAGTGATGACAATAATAGCTAAAACGGGGAAATACCCGTAAATTGTACTGTTGTCGACACCTACAGTATGGGTCCTTATCGATAAGAGATATGAATCGAGACTAGTCTTTATCAGGAATAGTTGTTATTTCGGCTTTCTCAAGTTGGCTGACATCCCGCTTACCTAATCCTCCGTTCGCTGGTTTGCAGCAAGTTAAGTTGAGGCACCAAGATACACAACTACACCTCTCAAACCGATACCTCTCTTTCTCTCCTTGTTCTGCCAACTCCATATCCTTTTTTTTTTTTGCGCTCCTCCGATTTGATTCTCCTTTCTCCCAGTCGGCAACTCGTCCTTTTTATCTTTTTTATTTTTTTTTTTCCTTTTTTTTTTTGGGTGGGAGTTCGCGGAAGCGCTGCACATCAGTATCACCGCTTAAGAATACCTTGAACCAACCTGTCTTTGCTTCTCCTCTCCCTTCGCCCACTGGACTTGGGTACCTATATCCCTATCCCCTCTTACCAACAGGTTGTCTGCGGTGAACCCAACGCTATTAAGGTACCTTAAGTCTCCCACCTATCCATGGGGTTATCCCACGTCAAACTCCCAGGCCGCCTTTCTCGCAGTTCAGCAACCTCACAAAGGGAGAGTCCAGCCATGCCTCCTTCCGGGATCCAAACTCCTCATAAAGACGATATTGAAGAAACGTGGGTCTTTTACCACCATATTTCTCTATACCCTGGGCCATCTGAAGCACGGATTTGGGAACAGGAGAGCTGACTTTAGAGGGTAGATGGGCGTATCTTGAAAAAGGCGTCGAGCGGGTCATGACCCAGTTAGAGGGGGGAATTGATATGCTTACCGTTAGTGTTTATTATCCCCTCTGGAGAGCAGTTGAATAGGCAGATACTAACTCTGTATATTAATATCCCCTTAGTATATGGGTGTTTACACGTCAGTAATACTCGTTCCCGTTTCAATAGTCAAGCTCATCCTTTGGAACTGACGACATCAATAGTGCCGTTCACGACTTCTGTACCTCACAAAAAGCTATTTCATCACCTGGCAGCCCAGCTTCCCATGGTAGTCATCGCGGAGGTGAGTTTCGTTTTTTCTGTTTTTATCCTTAGGGAATGTACATAAATATGGTCTAATTTCTATAACGCGTAGCGCACCTTCTTGGGGAGGAGTTATATAATCTCCTGGGCATATATCTATCCCGCCATCTCAATGATGTCTATGAAACCTCCCTAAACCATTCAGACGAAGCGTTGTTGGCCTTTTACATCCGGGAGTGGACTCGTTACACCACTGCAGCGCAGTACATCAACCATCTTTTCAAATATCTTAACCGCCATTGGGTCAAAAGAGAAGTCGATGAGGGGAAAAAAGATATTTACGACGTTTACACCCTTCATCTAGTAAAATGGAAAGAAGATTTCTTCAAGAAGGTGCAAAAGAGCGTAATGGATGCCGTGCTGAAACTTGTCGAGAAACAACGGAATGGTGAAACGATTGAACAGTCCCAGATTAAAAACATTGTCGACTCATTCGTCTCGCTTGGACTCGACGAGAACGACAGTACCAAATCTACCCTCGTGGTATACCAGTTCTATTTTGAAAAGCCTTTCATAGAGGCTACCAAAGTCTACTACGAAAACGAATCGAAACGATTCGTAGCTGAAAACAGCGTGGTGGAGTATATGAAAAAAGCAGAGTCTCGCATCGATGAAGAACGAGCCCGAATTGACCTCTATCTTCACCCCGACATTACCAAAAATTTAACCGAAACATGCTTGGAAGTCCTGGTGGCTTCACATTCGCCGCTGCTGCGGGATGAATTCCAAGCTCTCCTGGATACCGAACGTCAAGAAGATCTTGCCCGTATGTACCGATTACTCTCTCGAATTAAGGACGGTTTGGACCCTCTACGTAACAAGTTTGAGACGCACGTTCGGAAAGCTGGGCTTGCGGCCGTTGAAAAGGTAGTGCCAAATGGCGATGCGGTCGAACCCAAGGTCTACATTGATGCCCTGTTACAAGTTCATACCAAATACCAAGCTATGGTGGTTATGGGCCTTTGCGGGAGAATCGGAGTTTGTCCGTTCGTTGGATAATGCCTGTCGGGAATTTGTCAACCGCAACGCACTTTGCAACACAAGCTCAACGAAGTCTCCTGAACTGCTTGCTCGATACACAGATTCCCTTCTGAAGAAGGGAGTTAAATCTCCAGAAGAATCGGAATTGGAAGAGATGCTCGTCCAGATCATGACGGTCTTCAAGTATATTGAAGACAAGGACGTTTTCCAGAAGTTCTATTCCAGAATGCTGGCCAAACGGCTCGTTCATGTCAGCTCGGTTTCAGATGATGCGGAAACCAGCATGATTAGTAAACTGAAGGAAGCTTGTGGCTTCGAATACACTAATAAACTCCAACGAATGTTCCAGGACATCCAAATATCCAAGGATCTCAACGCGAGCTACCGTGATTGGCAAGAGAAAGTCCTGGATGATGAAGACAGGAAAAAGTTATTGGACCCTCATTTCCAGATCCTCGGAACGGGATTCTGGCCCCTAACCCCGCCAACAACGCAATTCATCCCCCCTCAAGAAATCGTCAAGACGACAGAGCGTTTCAAGAACTTCTACTTCGACAAACACAGCGGTCGCAAACTTACATGGTTATGGAATCTATGCAAGGGCGAAATCCGCGCAAACTACATCAAAAACACGAAAGTGCCATACACATTCCAAGTATCTACATACCAGATGGGAATTCTCCTCCTCTTTAACGAAAGTGACACGCTGAGCTTGTCCGACATTGAAAAGGGAACAGCCCTCGCCCCGGAAGTTACTGAACCCAACCTTGGCATCCTTGTCAAGGCTAAGGTCGTCATCCCTTCTCCAGAGGATGGCAAACCGTGTCCGGGGACGTCATATGCGTTAAACTACAATTTCAAGGCGAAGAAGATTAAAATCAATCTAAACATTTCCGTCAAATCGGAGCAGAAACATGAAACGGATGATACACATAAGACTATTGATGAGGATAGGAAACTTTTACTCCAGGTGAGTTTTGTTTTTTTTTTTTTTTTTTTTTTTTTTCTTTTTTCTTGACTTTCATCTCCATGTTACTAAGTTCGTCTCTCTATCTCTACAGTCCGCCATCGTCCGGATCATGAAATCGCGAAAGAAGTTGAAACATGTCCAACTCGTGCAAGAAGTTATTCAGCAAGTGAAAGCCCGCTTCCCACCCAAGGTACCGGATATCAAAAAGAATATTGAAGCCCTGATGGAGAAGGAGTATATTGAGCGGCTGGATGGTGATGATTTGGCATATATTGCTTAAAGACCTACAGTTCCTTCTCTTATATTTTTCTATTTTTTTCCTTCTTCCATTTTTTTTTTTTTTTACATCCTAGCCAACGAATAGCAACAACAAATGAAGAGATGAAAGGAAGAGAGGGGGCATGGGGAGTAAAAGATAAAAATAAACAAAATTATATCCGTCTGCCAGGTATAGCGGAGGTGGGGATATGTATTTGGGAAGTAGCAGATGGAATCCCGTCGAAAACGCCATACAAAGGAAGCGAGGGGTAGAGAAGATGAGGAAAACATGTAAAATCATGATGAATTGCAGACAAAAGCGAAGATGAAAGACATCCTAATATCATCATCATCATCATCATCAATCGATCAAACAACTGCCCATTGATTTAAATTTTTATTTCCATT